GCCTAGTCTTCCGGAACCATACCTCTCCGAGGGGAAGACATTGAGGACCGAACTGTTGAAAATATTTCTAGCTAACTAAAAATGGATGGGGGCTCAGGGGGTTCAGCGAACAATGCGCGAGTACACCAAAAAGGTCCCGGCGAACGGTGGTTTTGTTCGGTCTGTTCGTTGAGCTCACACGGTCTAGGTGAACTTTGTCCTTCGAAAGGCAGAAAAAGGAACTCGCCAAGCCAATTCATATCCCCGCCACCCCGATAATGCTAGCTGAACAGTTTCGATGAACCCAATTGCATACCGGTACCGGTAGGGCAACTGTAGGCACTTCATTGCACCTCCATCACCACTCACAACCGATCGAAATTAATCTATGCATTACCGCAAGGCCGTGGAGGAGTGGATGGAGGAATCTCCCAACCTTAGTCTACTTCCCTCGACTATTCATGAGCTCCTTTCTCTTGTGTGCTTCCGACGACCAAGTTCTGAAGTTCAAATTCAAAGGTGCAGATTAGTCAGCATCAGGCGTCAGTTTTGGAATCGCTATTACTTATTGGGTTAGTGTGAAGGAATCTCGGGATAAGTGTGATACCGGTACTTGTACCGCAAACACCACCCTCGCGCCCGGGCATCGCTTCCGAGGCTTCATAGGCCGGTACCATGGGCAGAAATAAATGCACAGCGCTCGAGGACTCCTGGGAGAACAATTAATTCAGGACACCACTCTTAGAGCGGTACAATATACTAAAAATTTCAACTTGGTCTCCTTCGCGTGAAAGCAGATGAAGCCTTTGTCTTCCTCCCACTTTTCCACTCTCCCGACTTTCTATTCTTCACGGAAAAATTTAAGCAATCTACAGGACTAGAACCACTAGCTCAAAATGCCGCTGATGTATCGGAATTTTGGGACCGGGCTATGAGTTATCTGCCTGTGGATTTCAGAGAAATCTGGACACTCCGGTGCCAAGGGCTCCGCATTTGACGCCACGGCTAACGTTGAGATGCCCTGGTATGATACCCATGAGCCCCCAGCTACACCGGTACCCTCCACACTTTAAACCCGACATTACGGTAAACTAATGACAGTTTGCTATGTATAATACCAACAACCCGTTACTTCCCTCCTCTCCCCCTTGCTCTCCCAAATCTTCCAAAACAAAAAATATCCGAAACCTACCTCCCCGTCTTCCCACTCCACCACCAGAGCAGGAGCCTACCCGTGACAAGCCCACAACACACCCACCATCACGCACCAGATCCCCTCCCAATTCAGCATAAACCACGACCGCGCTCCAAACCAAGCTCCTGTTTCCATCTCTGCTTCGTACAAACAAACAAACAAACACCCCACCACAACAGCAACAAACTCACCGCCCTCCGGAACCGGGAAATGGTTCGAGAACTCTAGATTCAAAATTGTTGACGCGTGCGCTACCAAGTTACTCCAGTGCGGGGAATCACCAACCCGATAGAAACTGCCTCAACCTGAAAGAGTGCCGCAAGTTCGTCTCGGTTACTATACGATAAAGTGGGATTCCGGCGAAATTCTAGTAGGGGGGGGAAGTGAATTCCTCCTGCACCGTACGAGGTCAGGTTTCGAGGGGCAGGGACGGGGGGAACTATCATATATGGGAGGGGGCCCTCGAGAGATTGAGATCGATTGTGTCCGGAAACATCCAGTGCCTCCTTTTTTAAAAGGCCCAGGCTGCCTTTTCACTGCACTGTATTCTACAGGATAATATAATACATTAGAGAGCCTCCCCCGGATAACCCCATTTTAGATACGATAGATATCATTCTCGGAATTCAGATCACTCTACTTACAAAAGCCGGGAAAGGTAAAAGCCAATTCTCCTCCCGGGGGCTGGGTTCAGAATAGGATACACAAAGTTAGGGCTTCAACAGCACTACACATATTGCGGATCCCGGACCGGAGTAAACGGAGACCAGCAAAAGGCATTTCATGCATAGGGCGAGTTATTGTGTCCGTGTTCGCTTAATGTGGGTACGATATGGTGTATAAATTTACAGTATAAACATATCCGCACGCTAAACTTGCAACGAGGAGTAATGGCAACTGAAGTGTTTATTAGATCAACACTACTACAGGTGCTTTTATCTGCTCTAATTCCCATGCTAATACAGATAACTCCATCCCAGGCTAATTCCGTGGCGTCTAGAGAAAAGCAAGTAACACAGTCCAGTTAACCAGCAGAATCTCACTTTTTGACTTCGGAGAGGGGTGGCGAGAGCGGCACGGCGCGATACAACAAAATCAAGGCAGAATGGCTCTCTCCTAGAATGTTTTATTAGAAAGTCGAATATCCGAAAGTAGTACCATCAATAAGGGAACTAACCTCCACCAGCCAAGGTTTCAATTCTGTCTTTGGGCACCTCCGAGACCTTATCGTCATTGAAGAACCACCACAAATCTTCATCGCCCTCCTTTTTGACATAGCTGCAATAATGACCAGAGTCTGCGCCTGCACCTTGATGAGTGATGACACCCATCAGCTCGTATAGGCCGCTCGAGTTGCACCCCTCATCTTGAGCAAGATCAGGGTCAAGTTTATCCTTTAACTCTTGTTCCCAATCGGGGAGATGGTCCTCTTCTTCCCTAAGCTTTGCCTCGGCCTCACTTTTCTCCTTCTCCTCATCTTGTGCCGCCGCCTGGCTCTGAGCGGCACCAAATCCGCCGGCACCAGCGTTTCCACCGGCAACATCATCTGGGTTGGCGGCGGACCGCTTGAGGCGCTTTCGGGTACGTTCACGATCCTGGGCATCTTTGCGAAGATCTCGAAGGCGATCACGGACAGGGATAAGCTTCTCACGCAGTTCATCCGCGCAGAACTCGGTCGCATCGAGTTCGAAAGGAAATGTCACTTTGCGCATAATCTTGGCCTTTTTGTTGATCTCACGCTTCCAGTAAAAGCGAACAAAGTGACACTACCGTAGTTAGTAAACTGCCCTAGACCGGAAGACCGGAACCTTACAGTAAGATATTTAGGAAGCTTCGTGATGCGGCTAGTCTTTGTATACGAAGCATCCCTACCGAGGCTTGGACTATTCTTGTCGATCTTCTCCGTCAAGCCAGACAGTAATCCATCACGAAGATGGTTAGTTGAACTAGAGATATGGCACTTAAGGTTGACAAAGGTGTCGACAATCTCCAAAGGTGGCTCGTCAGGGGTTTCCTCGTCGCATTTTAGCGTCGATATTGTTTGGCCGGCCAAGTATTTATCGATGAAAGATACGGAAGTCGAAGAACCCTCTCCTCCTGGGTTTATTTTTAGCTTTTGCTTCAGTTGTGAGATGATCTGAGAGTAGCATTCTTCCGCATCTTGCTGCGCATACTGCCCATCCTTCCCCTTCTGCGCAAATTGCGGGAATGCGGTGCGAAGCGCCCCGAGAAACATCATTGGCGGGAATCCTCCAGTGGTTTCCCCCATTTGCTTGTAAAGGTCCCTCAATGCACTGGTCAAATCACCCCCGATCCCACCGATCCCAGCCAAGAGTGAGCTTGAGCCACCCAGACTGCTTCCAGCGCCGGGAGCTTCCTGGTACTTCCGAAGCTCATCCTGTAGTTCGGGAACGGCTCGCAAGGTCTGGAGAGTAGAATTCATATAGCAGGTGTTCCCCAAGTTTTGGAGGCCAGAAGGTATAGCACCCGCGGCTTTAGCGAGATCGGCATCGCTCAGGTCTTCAAGGAACTTCATCTTCTCTTTCGGCGGTTGCACACTCTTGCCGGCTGGGGTCCCCATCATCATGAAATTATGCCCCGGCTTGATATCTAGAGCAGAGAGATCTGTGTCATTTCTAAGCTGCCCCCCCTTGATGAGGATCTTCTGGCGCTCGGGTTCGACTTGAGTAAGGGAGTAAAGCTGATATTTAAAGACCTCGGCAGACTGGGAGAGGTCTAACTCGAGCTCGTGGCGTTTGCCGGCATGTTTAACAAAGACTAAAGAACTCAGCATGTAGCAATAATATGAGAACCAGGGATAAACGAACCCGTAACGGAACTCATCTCGAGCCCTTGAGGAATAATTGATGAAGTTTGATAGAGTCGATGGGATGAGGATGGACGGGTAGCCCTGCTCGAAGACGATAGGAAATCGGAGAGTGTGTCGGAGACGATCTAGGGCACCGGACGCACAGGAGAGAGAGCTAGGGATAGGGGAGATGAAACGGACGTATGGCAAGTAAACCAAACCAAGCTCAGGGTGGAAATGGGAAGAGGATAAACATGGCGGTGCTGGCCTCGGCTAGGTGGGGTGATTGAGGTGCCCCGCCAGTATGACTAAGCGATGGCTTGGTAGGTGACTATTTCTGCGGCTCACCCGATTCTCCCACCGACCAGCCACCTTTCCCAACATATCTACTCGAGTACTAGCACGAGTACTCGAGTACATCATGCTCTCCTTTCGTTTCCGCTCCAGCCCCCGGGATAATTCAGGGGGTAGGCATTTTCTACTGCACCGCAGCTTTTGAAGCGCGAATTCTCGCGGGAATTACACCGAAGTACTGCACTGCAGACTGCAGTATCTATCCGCCTCCGTACTCTTAACAGAATCCATAATTGTATTCATATATCCCGCCGAAGCACAATAGAGACATTTCTGGTGAAAATCGTGTTAGCCTACCGGTACCGCAATCCCCCGACCCCCCAGTATCCACACTTGTGTTGCACTGTGCTGGTGGTCACGGCGGCGTTGTATGGTATTCTCCTTGCTTGCAAAAGTCACCGTTACCACACCGGTACCCGCCTTAGGGTTAGGGGTCCACCTCTCACTACCCCTTCTCCACCTCCCTGCATCAAGTCCAGATCTTTTTTCCTGAGGTACGGGCAACAACGAACACCACGGTCACAACACACCAAGCTAGATCGCGACCTTCCCCCTACTCCCGCTTCACTCTACAATATTGACTGGACTATAATACATATACCTCTAAAAGACCATAGTTACTATGACCGAACAGATTAACGCTATTATCGAGCCAAAGCTCGAACCGAAATACGATCATTATGACTTTCCCATCACCAACCCCATGACCGGTAGTGGTCACTCCGGCCACGTCAATGCTGAGCAAAACGCAAAACTCTTTCAGCTAAGGAGCGAGCTCGAGAGTGAGGGGTATACTGAGAGACTGGATACTCTGACTTTGGTGTGTTCGCCTCCGTTGATAAGGGGTTCACGAGCTGACGAGTAATTCTAGCTTCGGTTTTTGAGAGCAAGAAAGTTCGATGTCCCATTGGCAAAGGCCATGTAGGTCCCCTACCCTGTTTGTTTCTATGCAGATAGGGTTTGTCTATAAGCGAGCGATGCCCAACTCTGACGAATGCTTAGGTTCATCGATACCGAAAAGTGGCGAAAGGAGTTTGAGGTCGACAAAATCCTTGCTACCTTTGAATACACCGAAAAGCCCAAGGTCTTCGAGTACTATCCTCAATACTACCACAAGACAGATAAAGATGGCCGTCCCGTATACATCGAGCAGCTCGGCAAGATAGATCTCAACGCAATCTTAGCCATTACTACCCAGGAGCGCATGATTCAGAACCTCGTCCTCGAGTACGAAAGACTAGCGGATCCCAGATTGCCAGCCTGCTCAAGGAAAGCTGGCCATCTCCTCGAGACATGCTGTACGATTATGGATTTGAAGGGCGTTGGCGTTACCAGTATCAGCTCGGTTTACACCTTCCTCAAGCAGGTGTCTGCAATCTCCCAGAACTATTATCCCGAGAGGTATGCTTCACCATCTACTTTGCCGAGATGATTTAACAAGAACAGACTTGGGAAGTTGTATATCATCAACGCCCCCTGGGGGTTCGCCAGTGCGTTTCGTGTTGTTAGGGCGTTTCTTGATCCAGTGACCGTACGTCTATTTGCCCCTCTCTCCTTACCAAGACTAACTTGAGCAGGTTGATAAAATCAATATTTTTGGTAGTGGGTACCAGGAGGAACTTCTAAAGCAGATACCCACGGAGAACCTCCCCGTCATCTTTGGCGGTACCTGCTCCTGCAAGGGGGGCTGCGAGCTGAGCGATGCCGGCCCGTGGCAAGAGGAGCAATACACAAATGCCGCGGTCAAGCCAACAGCTACAACTACAGCGGCCGCACCCGAACCCGCCCCGGCGGTCATGGCAACCAACACTGCTTAGATTGGGGTACGAGGTAATAGATTTATGGCGGCTTGACTAGATGACAATGTAATCTTTTCTTACGAGAGGCGGATACCTGGGCAGTGAGGTTCCGGAGAGATGTTTGCGTGCGGTTAGTAAAATATTATTCAGAATTGTGACTGTCTAGACTTGGGGTTCATTGCCATTACTGTGTCTTAGCGAGGGATCGTGCCACACTGTGGAGCGTTCCACATGGAAAAGCAACCAGAGGATGCAAATATTATTCGGCCTTTAAGCGTGGATCGTAACGGAACCTTTGGGCGCCCGGACTCTGAAGGGCCGGGCAGAGTGTTGGGTAACGTCAGGCCTTTCTATTCTCTGGTCTGCTCGGGTAACTTGGTCGTTTGTTTACCCGAACGTTTAATTCCAATTCCGGATTAGTGTGATTCGCAGGGCACCTTCGAACCCGTTGCCCAAAGGCTCTATCTTGCGATATTATGCGATTATGAATATTTACTAGAACCCGGTTGACATCCCAGCCGACCATCTGGAGCCTCACCGTGTCACCCGACTCCACGAGTGACCTCTGATGACGGCTTTATCCCAGCACAAACTTTTATACAGAGAATCATACATAAAAAGAAAGCGACCCATCTACATCCCCGACCACAACGTCAAAAGGAGAACGTCGAGAACCACCCAAAGCCACCACGTCACTTCCCTACCCCGCGCCCCGGCCCCACTCTGCACACAAGCATAGTCCCTGGTCTTGTTGGCGTCGGGCACCCAACTCGGCGAACTCCCGACCACCAAACCGTGCGAGTGCTTTGTATCCAGCACACCCTTGAAAACCATCTTGTAGCTTCCGTACAGGACTTTATCCAGAGCAATGTCAATCTTGTGATCGCCCAGCCTCCACGAATCAAAGTGCCCCGCGAACTGGCCGGAAATGGTAAACTCTGCAGATTCCGAGGAGAAGGCGCCCGTGAGCGTGGTGGTGTTGGCGTTGCTAGCGGTGACGGAGGGGGACGAGGAATCGGCGCCAGCTGGGTAATTCTGGACGAGAAAGTTCGCATACTGTGTCGCGTTGCAGGTTGGGAATTCGTAGACGAAGCTGGAGGTATCCACCCCCAATTGCTTCTAATATATTCTCGAGTCAGCACCACCACCCCGGGCCGTCGTCGCCAAGTACCAAGAACTTGTCTGTCATACCTCTGTGGAATTCTCGTAACTCCCCCGAAATCCCCACCCCTCTCCACTCCTGCCGACGCTCAAGTCCACGACCGAGGGGGAGTTCACATCGCCGTACTTCCCGCCATTGCTCTCGGCCCGAAAGCCCGCGACGCTCTCAAAGTCCATGAGCACCCCCACCGGCATCTGCGTGGGTACCAGGTTCTCGCCGGAGAACGGCACGTCCGGGATCCATGCGTTGAGGAGGAATATGAACGGGTTCTTTTGCACGTTCTCGGGGACTGTCTGGTATTTGCTGTCCAGGACCGATAGGACGGCGGATAGGGTTCTGTTGAAGGTGCCGGCCTGCGCGGAGCAGGTTAACGTGGAGTTTGAGAGGGTTATTGTCGTTTCCTATATCATATTCCTGTCAACTTTTTTTTCTTTCTCTTGTCTTCTCCAATTGCGAAATAAGAAAAATAAAAAAAGAGGAAAGAATGGGAGGACAAACTATAGTGCCATCGTAGTAACTCCCAACCCATTTATACAGGAATGGATTCTTGACCCTCAATAGTCCGTGGTCCGGACCTGGGCACAACGAGTACTGCTCTTTCAAGAAATTGGCTTCGGGGGTGGAGGAGTATGCTATATCTTCCTCATCCATCGTGTCTGCTGGTGACGGACTCGCCCGGACAAATCCTACCAGTAAAGACAACGCAAGAACCGACCAAGAAGTCCTCACCATTTTTTTTTAATTTTAATTTTTTAAACAAGGCCCCTTCTTCCTTTTCAGGTTTCGTTATCGTAGAGGTACGAAGGGAATGAAGGGAGGGGGGGCGGAGAAGGGGGGGGGGGGGTGGAAGGTAGGGGTATACGATACCCTACATATACAACTTCTCGTCCCTTCACAAGCAAATAGAAAAGTATGATAGAAAGGCACCCCGGAAAGAAATAGAAAGAAAAAAAAAGGGGGAAGCGAGGAAAAATAAAAAAATAAAAAAGTGATGAAGGAATTGCCATGTTTGCTCTCCTCCTTTTTTCTCTTATTCTCTTTTCTTCCCCTCACCATCTTCACCACCACCACCACCACCACCACCACCACCATCACCTGCTTTCATAGAAACGCGGTATAGATCAATTCCCCCTGTAATGGCAAGGCACATATCTCTCATGCAGAGCTTCCTCCCCGCACTCTTCGAGAGTGAGCGCGTGAGGCGGGCAACAGTGAGTATAAGGTCTTGAAGTACTGCACTGTACTGTACGGTACTAGTATAATACAGATACGGTACCGTTACAAGCACTCGTATATCACACGCGGAATAGATACCGTAGCAATGCATATATCTACGTACATCACATCACATTACATTGCATTACATGCTGCGTTAAATAGCATGGGTTCAGTGACCCCGCGGACAAGAGAGAATGAAAGAGCACATGTAAAAAGGGAGAAAATCCGTGGGATTATATTTTTAGATCTCGGAGGTTCCGTTGAGTACCGTAGCGTTCCCGTACCGTGCCGGCCCGTGCCGTGTCAGTACGAGTACGGCGCCGTGACCGCGCTGCAGGATTTATCAAAGGGAAAAAAGGATTCTGTGGGATTCCGGGTATTTGCTTTGGGGGAAGGGAGGTTGCTGTGTTCTGGTGTGATGTGATGTGATATGATATGGTATTATGACATTTCTTCCTCAAGCCTTATCTTCCATCATTTTTTTTTTGCTTGGAGAATTCTGGTCATGTACTCGGGGACATGTAAGGGTGCGTGTGTGTGTGTGTCTGGGGGGTGTGATTGACATGGTACGGCACTATGATACGGGTGAGTGAGTTGATGTCGGTAGCCGGGTCGGGATTTGGTTGCAGGGTGCGGTGTGTGCGTGGTGGAGCGGAGTGAACGGGCCCGGCAGGGGGTTGGCGGGCGACGTTATCTGCTTCGTGGATTGCGGGGATCGTGGTTAAAGTGTCTGGCACAGTTACCGGTACGGTGCTTCACGTGGGTTGTGGTCGGGATGTCGACCGTTGTTTTTGTCTTTGCCGGCATTTTTTTCCCTCGGCAGCCGTCGAAATTGGGGGATTGGAAATTTGGACGGATTTGTGCTTATCCGGGTCAATAGGGTAGCAGTTTATTTGTCGGGGGGACGTGGACGGCAGCATGCGGTGGTATCGTTTGGGGGGTGCGCTGCTGGCTGGCGGCCTGGGGGGTCCGGGATGGCGAAGGGTGAAGTGGGGAGAAGTTCTTCTCGAACTGATCTGGGCTCAAGTGGGTGGATATATACTACAAAGGCAACCGGGCTGTGCTAGGAGAAAGCAATAATAGCAACGCGTGATAGCTTACAGCACTTCTGGATCCAGGTGGTTGTATGGGGTTGCTACTCGGAGAAAAAAAAGAAAAAAAAAGGAAAGAATAAAAGTAAATAAAAACGGCGGGTCAATTTTAAGCGCAAAACATGCGGAAACGAATGGGGAATTTAGAAATCCACGGAATATCAGGCAAACATTCCAGAAAGAGAAGAGAGAACAAGCGGGGGGAGCCATGACAAGACGAATCATAACGCAACATCCGCCTTCCTACCGATATATAGCAGCCATCCATCAGCGAGGTAGCGTGCGATGTATAGGCAGATCTGATCCGCATCCTACACCTCAATTTCTTCCAGCACGTTCAAAATCTACAAACAAGATTAGCCTTTGGGAGAGGTGCTGAAATCGGTAATGGGACTAGGCTCACCTCTTGTATGTATCTCACACCGACCAGGGTACCATCGTCATCGAGGAAATCGCTTTCGGGACCCAAATGCGACTCCTGATCCAAACATGCCAGACACGAGACCACAATTTCCGTATACTTGGTTCCCATAATCGGCGGCAGGTGTTTGTGCGCCAGATTGGTCAACGCCCTCTTGATCCGGGTGGCCCTCCTCTTTTGATCCCTGTCCTGTAGTATGGTCAAGATTTGTGGCAATGCGTTGGTAGGCCCTCCCACCTCGTCCACAAACGGGGACCACAAGCCGATTTCCAACAGAATGACGCCCAAGCTGTAGATGTCGTGCTGCATCCTGTACACATTATCCGGGTGGTTTCCCTGGCGGCTGGGGTGGCGGTACAGGTTCTTCGACCAGAGCTCGTCGCCGGCCCTGTAAGTATATCCATCTGCGGCTCGGAACATCTGGAAACCGACGAGGAATGGAATGCCAAGCGTCTTCCCCGGATTGGGGAAGACCAGGATGGTCTCGGGCCGCATGTTCTTGTGGACAAAGTTGAGGTTGTGCACGAACATGACCGCCTTCGCAACCTGTTTGGCGAGAAGGACGCGCTCCTCGAGGGGGTGCGGCTCTTGCGGCGATTTAAGGAGAACGGTTCTGAGGCAATCGGGGGTATCGTCGAGCGTGGGGGGCATCTCCAATATGAACTCGAATTTTTCGGGGGCCCCGTTCATCCCCTGCCTCCTGACGACTCCCTTGCAGGTGAGGACTCCCGGGACACCCTTGGATTCCCTAAGCACTTTTGCCAACTTTTCCACGTCCCTGTCCAGTTGGTTGTAGTTCCTCAGACTCGGATCGACATCAATGGTTTCCCTAACGTATCTCGTCCTAGTACTATCGGTAACAACCTGAGCCCCAGAGTAGCCGATGGGCATTGGCCAGTACATGTTAACGGGGTCCAGCCATACAGGCGGGAGCTGTTTCGTGGGCTGGTCGGCTAGGGCGTCACGGATCGCTTTGACGGTGGTTACGGCACTACCATTGGGCTGGTCCTTTTTGACTTCCATCGACAGAGCTCTATCGAGAGCAGCATTTTTCGGTAACGATAGCATGAAAAAGGTTGCGGCAAACATATCCCTCCACTTCTCCAATACCGAGACATCTTTCTCCAGCGTGCCCTTCAGGAAAAAAGCAAACTTTATTGCTTTCGCCCTCCCTTTCGTGCCCGACAGCTTTTCGAGGTTTTTGCAGGCGGTGTGCAGGTGGAACTGCAGCTTGGTGAGAAGATCGGTGATGTGCTCCCGGAGAACTTCATGAACCCCCTCCTGGGAACTCTGGACCGTCGTTAATTGGTATGTGATATGTATCCAGACATTCTCCACCCGAAGGTTTAGGTCGTCTATATCTCTGTGCGCGCCCCGGATGTCCTTGTATCGTTCAACAAGATTCTGGCCGGCTCTGGATACATTAGCAATCTCGGACGCCGACCACGGTACCAGCACTTACCGAAGGCAAACATCCGCAACGCTCAAGACCCCAACAATCCCGAAAGCTAACTCCATGGTGATAGTAAGTGGGTATTCTGAACCGATTTCTTGTTGTGCGGGCGGCGGTAGGCCCCTCTTGAGCGCGCTTTATTCTTATCGGGGGTGAGCTCCCTCCCCTCCCCGCGCATTGGGTGGTCCCCCCGAGCGCTGCAGACTGTGCGCCCCAGCTCAAAGGCCTTGTTCGCTGATCCCTGCGAAACGGGTGCAGGGATTGATTGGACTGCTCTCACTGGCGGTTAGTCACAGCCCCGATTACGGACTGGCCATAGCTGGTCGCTGGGCTCGGCCTATAACAAATAAGAGTGGGCTGGTGGGTTCACTCGGAGGTACAAGTGATATCGGTACCGCTATTGATGGATACTGGCACCGGTGTGTGAGACAGAACGGCCAGCCGTTTTGCTGCCATGGCATCGTCAATACGAGTAGAATTTCTTGTGACCAGGGAAATGGCAAAGAGAGTCAGCTAACCGCCATAAGCGCGTTAGGACTGCACAAATCACTCCTAAGCCCTAGTTCGCGGGCCGACCCATCGAGGGGGAGCCACGCTAGGGGGGAGGGAGCATGGCCCTAGGCTTTCCCCCCTTACATCAATGTACACACCAGTTGCGGCGCAGCCAAGCCTGTGCGCATATTTTGATAGTGAAAACGCTGAGCAGTAGCAAATTTCAGAGTCTAGGCTAGGAAAAATGAGATTCGTATCCTCTTCTGCCTGAGAAGCTGCTGCCTAAGTTAGAGAGTCGGTAAGTAGGTACCTACTCTGATACTGGTACTCGTAGATGCCGGCAAGCTGTGCTCAGGGTGGATAACCGGACAAGAACTCCACCTTTCACAGGGTGAGGGGGACGTAACGTGGCGGTAGAGCACCCGTACTGGTTACCGTGCGACGGATCACGAGCCCGATCCCATAGGATTCCAAAACCCGACCTCTAACTGGGAATTACAGCGGTGAACTCTGGGAAGATCGAGCCTTCCTGATGTAGCCATTTACTAGGAGAACAAGCGGGTTTTCCTCCTTTTTTACTCTTAGCGAGATGTGTCTAGCTGGGGAAATTAGGCGTGCAAGATGCGGGATACTGGTCAAGCGTAACGAGTATCATAGCACACTGGGATACTCGCAACGTGGGATACCAGCAAAAATTGGCCCGGAACGCCGCCCGAGGGGGGTGTGTGACTTCGAACATGAGATTGGACTGATCACAAGGGTGCTGGCAGATGATGGATTGATGATACGCAGCATGGCGATCAGGTAGCAATGGCACAGTACGAGTACCGTACTAGCAAATTTACGGTACAGTACAGCTCGTGCAAGATTTGCGCCATGACTTTGTCAAAGACAGGCCTTGAGTTCGACAAAGCAGAATCGAACATATCATAATCATAACCAGCCGCTACCCATATTAGTTATTATTATTTTTTCCCCTTCACCTCACTCATCTCTCGTTCCATACCCGTCTGTGCCACAGCACAAGCCCCTCCCTGTGTTCGAACTCATGCCTTTTCCCGCGATCCGAAACTGCCCTCACAAAGGAAGGTGGCTACCGCCACCCATGCTCCGTATTACGCTGTGCGATACCCGAGTACGGTACTCGTACTGTACCATACGGTACTTCGTAAATCAGTGATCTACCCTTGTACCACGGAACCGGTGAACACCCATCCGACGTTTCACGGAGGGCCCGGGCACGTTGCACCATGGCAATCGCAAGGGAGGATGGATCGCCATCCTGGACACCTTACCGCAGCAGCAACCTCCCATATCGGAGCGCGCCAATGTTACCGGTCCCGCGACGTGGGCCGAATTCACCTCCGCAAGTATGATACCGTATCCAACATGGTAGGTCACAGATGGCCCCATCCACCGCTCGGGGGCTCCCTTTTGCTAACGCATAAACATTGCCGGCGCCCGCATGAAAACATTCCATCGTGAGCAAATGGGAGGGCAGCTCGCCAGCCATTCGGAATATCCTGCGTCGGCAGCCGCCCACTCCGCCACGAGTATTCAAAATCTGTCTCCGATGCGGTTTGACGGGGTATGCCTGATGGGTGAAGCAAATTAAATTCAAGCCCTCGTGGGAGGCCGGTGCTATGATTCACCGCAAAATGGTGCGGTACGGACCTGTCGTAAATCTGGGAGGAATACGGTACTTTTATTCGCGACAATGAAACTATCACAATATAGGACCGCTCTTGTTCGTGCGGGGGAGTTATGAGCTCAGAATCACTATGAAGCGAAAGGCAGTCAGCGATGGGGCACTAAAAGCTTGACACGGCGGTATTTTTTCTTCTTCGTTCCCTGTCCGCTTAATCCCCGCATGGTCTCTGGAGTACGCGGTGAGGGTTGCTTCCCAGGATGGGGCTCAACTGTTGCTGTGCTCCGGTTGGCCACTATTGCGTGTGCCAGGGCCTTGGCTGCATATCGGTAGCAGGTTCTGTGACTTCTTTGCACTAGTAGGAGTACTCGTACAAGTACTATCATGCCAACGCTCGATCTCTTGCCATTTTCAAAGTTATCTTGCCGTGTCCCGAGAGCTGGCAAACGGATTGGCAACACAAACTGCAACCCCATTCACTTCATAATGCGTATGTGCTATCTCGAGCGGAGGGCGAACAAGGAAAGGGTGAAAACCTCCGATGGCATTACTTCCAAGCGTCCTTACTAATTTTCTGGATTTATTTTCCCACTGGTAGTCTTACCTATATTGATTCTCCCTACGACGGGGAGTGACCGATGGGGGCCTGAAACGCTAAGCAAGTCGGTCCCAAGTCCCGGGTATGATACCATTAAGAATTGCAGTGAGTTACTTGTTGCTAAAGTATCTGGAAGGCTTCGCGCCAAGATAGATGGATATTGACCAATGCCAAGCGCCCAGAGACTTCATGAAGGACATCCCCATCCTCAAAGCCCCCCGTGCCCTCTCTTTCCACGACTCATAAAACGAAATATGACAAAATTTTTATCGTATAGCGTCCCTAGAAGCACACCCGAAAACGGTTACCCGAGAGGCTCTTGCTGCCCTGCGGTTGTTAACAAAAATTGCTGTCGAGATTCAAAGGAGGGCGCTATAAGAGGGCGTTAACTTTATGGACGTGGCGTTGCAGTAGCGGCGTTGGAAATGCGCTCAGGCCGCACCCTGCTGACTGAGGAGATGCGGGAAAAGCCGACTGCTTTAGAATTAGCTCCCCCATCGTCTTCGGCGTACAGTGTGCAGTCCTTGATACAATCGCAGACAATGATTGAGTTAATGGCCCCCGGTAGATTCGACGGTTTGTCCTCCCCACGCTCAAGCAGAATCATACTACCGTACTCGAGTACCGTAGCGCTTGTATCACGGGGGCCTTCCCCCTGTCAGCCATATCCCTGCAAAAAATGCTTGTTTCCAACCTCAATGGGGTGTCTTACTCCTTTGCCGTATTGCTCGAGTATCAAGTACTGGTATCGTGCTATACGGAACCAGTTTGGGTGGCTGGCCAGGATTCTGCCGCGCGTGGGACCGGATTTCATGATTTGATGGAAATGTCTTCTCCCGCCTACCGTTGGTGGTTTGCAAGGTCTATTATGATAATAACGCTACAATATAGTATTCTGCCGGGGATAATTCATCCTATCACATCTTACCCGGGCCGACTTGGCTACTGGTATGGAATTGGTCCATCGAACTGGAGCTGCTTGTCACAAATGGTCACGTGGATCACGAAGCCTGGTACCAGGTACGAGTATAGCTAGCAGAGGCTCTCGCACCCACACTCCGCCATCCGCTATCAAGTTTGGTGATGAATACTAGTAGACTACGGGAGATCCCCAGACCGTTGGTAATAAAGGTTAGTTTTCAATCTTGAAATTGTGCGGAGCCTCACAGGCTGGCTAGGTCACCCACTATGCCGCATCCAATTCCTCAGCTATTTGCTCTCGCACTTGTTGAAGTCGGACACCTGGGGTGGCGATCCTAACAAAAAGTGTCTAAATTCAGCTTGGCCGCGCTAGGACATCATCGAGCTTAGCGGGCCGGTGCGTGGCAACGGATGATTGGGAGCATCCATAGGGAATTGGGAGAATCAGCGCACTCCACCGATAGAGGATGGCAAATGGCGATGGCGGTGATGGTGGGGATATTTCGGGGGACTTGCTGTTGAACCAAACCTAGCCCTCTTCGAGAGCCGCACCATCACCGCATGAGATAGCATGCATACAGAAAACGTGATTGGGGGTACTTGAGAATCGAGATAATAGGGACTTTGCGAAAGGGCTCTGGATGTGGGCCAAACAGGGTTCTGGGCCAATGAGATCGCTAGAATTTGACTCTGGATGCGAAATCGCAAAGTCTCTAATATTAGAGTGAGAATGGGAACCTAACAGGCATTCCGGATCAAAATCTAGGAGCGATTGTGCTTTCGGGATATAATTTGCCTCGTGAGTTCTGTTTTGGGCCGTGTCATACGATCCAACCAGATTCAACACTGGTACCGTAGTTAGCTTTCCCCCACTTTGGTGGCAAACTAACTACCGGTACTGTACGCCTGAAGGCGAATGCCCTGGATTGAGTCCTGCATTCCGGCAAAGCCCTCGCGGCTTTCCTAAGTGACGCAAAACCTCGACGGGATAGAGCAGAAAACAGGGGTGTCGTAGACTCTTTCCAAGAGCCTTATGACGTTTTGTTAGTCTATCGGCCAGCTGAGCTTAGAGCCGTCCTAGCCTTCCGTAAACACCCTGGGAAATACCGCTATATCATTTTCGTCATGATTCCATATTCCGATGATGATATACGTGGGTTGGAGCCGGATTTTTGGCATGGGGATTGCCCCTTCAGGGCGGGCCGTGTGAGGCTTGAACCTGGCCGTGAAAATAGCCCTTTTTCTCCCTTCAGTTCCCTCGGCTTCTGGCCGCTTAGGGGGTCGTAATGATTCTGTTGTTTCTTTCGGGTGGTGACTTCAAGGCTCTACCCACCAGAAAGAAGGGAAAGGCAAAAGGAGTGGGGCAATGAAAGCGGATATGACGAGGTTTTATCCTGTAGACAATGGAAGAAGGTGGATGGATGGCGTTATGCTTGAGGCTTAGGTCCCGAACACGAGGTTCAAGAAGGTAGGAT